TCGATTTGCTACAGGAGGCCTTTGTTCACCCCCCGGAGCCGTGTGAGACACTTTTTTAATGGATGGGCGCTTTTTATTTCACTTCTTTTAGACTGGAGCACTGCAACACCCGCTGACTGCAATGATAGAGCTTGGAATAGCCAGGACAATTTTTTATATAACTCCGACTGGATTCGTCTGAAAGAAGAAAGTCATATACACCTAGGATGGCAATGGAGTAAATCACAGCCTAATTTTCATTTTTGGGTGAACTAACCCTTTAGTTGTATTGAATGTGCACTTGTAGTGTACTTCAAATCTTAAAAGTATAAGAATGTATATATGTATAAGTGTACTTAAAGAGAGTTCACATTCATATTGAATATGTTTCTTAACGCACTTAAATACATGAATGTGCAAATTGTAACAATGTCAATTAAAGGTTTAACTTCAAAGTACAAAGTTGTGCTGTCAAGAAATACACTTATTTTGATGTGTTCACTAACATACTAAAGCACATGTAAAGTACTGGATTATAATTTTAACTGTAGTGTATAACTTTTTATGACATTTAACGTTAATATATTTTAAATGTAATAAATTGCATCTTCATTATTACAAATGTGTAATTACAAATATATTTAAATACATGAAATACAAGTTTCAATAGAAATTGAATGTAAAGTGCCCCTATTATGTCATTTCGAATTTTGCCTTTCATGCAGTGTGTAATGTAGCTGTATATGAATGTAAACGATCTGCAAAGTTGTAAAGCCGAAAGTGCACGATAAATGAAGTTATTGCCACCCAAAAGAAAGAATCGACTTTGAACGGCATAAACAAGTCGTCAGTAATTAATTCAAATCCGACATCTGAATGTACGCCGTAGACTAATCACAACAGACTGGGCCATCTGACCAATCAGAGCAGAGTAGGCTCACAGAAAGGAGGGGTTTAGAGAGACTGAATCTTAGAACTGCTTCGAACGAATCGTTTGAGAATCGTTAGGAAATGAGGAGGTGAAATTACATGCATATTTTGAGAAAACAAAAGCATTGTTTGACCTTGCATGCATGTAATCCTATTGTAGGAAACTCCCAAAACAATATTAGGAACCTTAAAAATGGCATAATAGGGGCACTTTAAAAGAATATTTTAATTTACAATAAATGTTTGTCAGTGAATTCAGCAGTACATTTTTGGTACTTTATTTTGTTAGTGTAATGTAGTTATAACCTTTATATGTTCAAATTCAGCATATTTTATCTAACTTTCTTTTTTTTTTTCTAGCAAGACCGGGCCTCAAGGTAAGCTGCTTTATTCCTTGTCTAAAAGCATTATTTAATTTGCTTCTGTTTACTGGTAAATAAATGCATAAAACCTGGTATGATCAACACTTACTTGATGATTGATGTTATAAGCAGGTCGGACTCTAGTGGTGTGGAGTCTCCGTCAGACAGACTGTCAGCTCGGACCAGCACATACACACGCAGAGAGAACAGACTCGCCTCTCTGAGCAAAACAGAGGACGACTCGGCCAGCAAGGACTATAAGAAGGTCAGGATAACTTTGATTAATAAAACACTCATTGCACATTCATTATATTAGATATTATCCCTCAATCCTCAGATACTATACCCAGAGACAAGGGTGTTTTATGACATGGACAATGCATATATGCAAACCTAGTAACATCAAAATACACTAGTATATATCTGAATTCCAATGTGTTTATCCAGTGCAGACCATTAGCAGTCGTCTGTTGACCAGCGACAGGAAAGCAGCTCCCAGTGGAGATGCTAAATTAGTCCAATGAATTCTACCCCTGTTTGTTTGACTTTATCAGCTGTATGAGGATGCACTGACTGAGAATGAGAAGCTGAAGTCTCGACTGGAGGACGGCAAACAGGAGCTCACCAAAATCCGCTCACAGCTTGACAGAGTCACACAGGTGAGAGGACAATCCCAGTAGATGAGGAGAGAGATTTTCTGTGGCCTGAATCATCACCATCATCCCGCCAAGAGGAGGGACCTGTATTAAAAACAATAGCACAGCCCAGCTCTCTGAATCCAATCAGGCTCCCAAAGGTCTGGCTTTTGGTGTAGCTCACAGCATCTGTAAGGAATTATAATCTGTGAAAAGCCAATAATATATCTAGATACTGGTCCAGCAGTAATTGCTTATTAAAACATTCAGCTTATTATGTTTTTGCATATTTTGCTTTGAATATCGCTTTACAGTTTTGTTTCTATGTACATTTATTCTCTTTTGCTCATTAATCTTTCCGTGAATGTTTTTCAGAGGCAGGACAGAATATCAGAGAGGTCCACTGTATTTGAATCAGAAAAAAGGGTATATGTTATCATTATATAATCATTATTGACACTTTCTGAGAAATTTCAGTGTTTCTCTTCAATGTTGGCTATGATCTTGAAGTGATATTCATCCTCATAGTAGCCCAATAACCCATGTTTACAATTTAATTTAATTTAATTTAATTTAATTTAATTTAATTTAATTTAATTTAATTTAATTAATAAATCTGGATAAATATAAAAAATATGAATTATTTAAAAGATATAAATATAAAAATGTATCATATAAAAAAATGTATTCAAACAATTATTTTTGTTTTATAGATTATTTAAAAAAATCGTAATGGTATTTTTATTTTTTTTCATGTGCTTGTAGGAAAAAGAAGTATTGGAGAAGAGGGTTTCGGACATGGAAGAAGAATTAAAGGTAAAAAAAGAATGTTTATTAAATGTGGTTTTGCCGTGTTATTCTGAACCTGAGTTGGGGAGACTTTTGAAAGCATGTTCAAAGATGCTAACTAGGGCAGTTTGTTTGAATGAATTCTTGAAAAGGTTAGATCACTAATAATTTTTAACAGCTAGTGTAACTACCATGCCTGTTTTGACCCATGTTAGCCAATCTCAGACGCCACAATGCTTGCTACTAGCCCACACCAAAGTCATGGCCACTACTCTTGGCTCTGTAGCATCTCACAGCTGCAGCAGTACACGATGACCTAGTTCCAGCTACGCCAGGGCCGGACTGAATCCAGCACAGAGACACGGCACGGCTTTTGTTCAGCATTCCAGCTTCAGAATACCATGGAGGGAATAAAATACACTCTTAAAAAATAAGGGTTCCAAGAGTGGGTTTTCACAACGATTCCATAGAAGAACCATTTTGGTTTCCCAAGGAACCTTTTAGTGGACAGTTGAACCAAAAATGAAAATTTGCTGTTAATTTACCTATATTCTCAGACCATTCAATTTTTTTCTTCAGTAGAACTGTAATAAGATTTTTTAGCTGAAACCGTGGTCCTTGGTGATTCATAAAATGCAAGTTAATGGCTACCGTCACTTTGAGAGGCAAAAAAAGCATATCAGGCAACACAAAATTAATACCCATGGCTCCTGACGATATATATTGAGAAATGAAAACCATCAGTCTGTGAAAGAAACCAAACATTATTTACAAGATTATTACCTGTAATCCAGAGCCTCAGGCAAACGGTCTAGAGTGATGTCCGGTTCACGAACGAATCATTCTTTTGAACTGGTTCTTTTTAGTGAACTATAAACCAGTTCACCAAATCGGATTGAAGCCTCTGAAACAGTTTGCGGCTCGAGCAGCACAGATCTACAAGTTACTCAATCAAATCTCACTGTCTGATGTCCCTGGCAGTCACTCCGACTTGAAATATGATATATGATTATATGATGCTGGTTTTTGCCAACTCCAGTTACTCCAACAGTCACTGAACTGAAAAAAAAAAAAAACAGTTCCGACTTGGACCTCTCTGTAAAAAGGTGAGTTGATTAAATGACTTTATATGCATGTAAAACATCCATGTTTCATATCATTATTGGGGGCTTTAATAATATAATTGCGTTATGTAAACAAACTGGTGAATCAGTTTTTTGAACCAGTTAATTGAAACAAACTGTCCAAAAGAACCAGTTTGCACAAAATAATCCAATTTCCCTCTTTGTCTGAGGCTCTGGGTTACAGGCAATAATGTTGTAAATAATGTTCAGTTTCTTGCTCAGTCCGATTGTTTCGCTTCATAAGATCTCAATATATCGTCAAGAGCCATGGGTATTAATTTTATGTTGATTGATATGCTTTTTTTGACTCTCAAAGCGACAGTAGCCATTGACTTGCATTTTATGAATCATTAAGCACCACTCAAAATCTTCTTTACTGCTCTACTCAAGAAAAAAAAGTCACTTAATCTTAGATGGCCTGAAGAACCTTTTAAAAATCTAAAGAACCTTTGTCCACTATAAAGAACCTATTTTGCAATGTTCCATAAATGTTAAAGATTTATGATGGAACCATCAATACCATTAAATAAACTCTTTTTAATACTGTTTATTTAAGAAGCTTTTCAAACACTGATTGGCAGGTCTGACAGACTCTCACTTCATCGAGCTTAAGACCATGAGAAATGAGGTGCACTTGTGTTTGTTTGATCAGTGATGTCACTGTTGCCCCAGCAGACGCCCTCAGTGAGGTTTCGCTATCAGCCCTGAGTTCATCCTCAGCTGGACTGGGTGAAAGAAGGGCAGATGGTGAGTGGTTTTGTCCCACGCGTGGTTGCCTGCTCACACACACCAAAACACACCCATTACAACACGGTGTGGGTCATGTAGATCACTCTTAGTCACAGATTTGTATCCATACTCTCTTTTTTTCTGTGATGCTCTCAAAATAGCAATGATCCAAATGGCTGAGTCAAACGTAATCTTGATTATAAATGCTGTGTTTATATCGTGATTACTAGATGACCCAGGACGTCCTACTCTGAGCTGTTCATGTCCTCAGACTTGGAATTATGCGTCTCTGTGGCAACACTATTAACGCCAAAATTAATCTGTGTAATTTGAGTAGTCAGTAAACAAAATCACAATGGAGTGCTGCAGGGATGACATATTTTTGTAGGCCAAAACCTGGAATTGAGTTTGAATTTTAACACTTTTGGTTCCATCGTTCCAAAGTCAATGGGTTTTTTAAAATAGGTTTTTGATTAAATGCCTGAAATAAGTTCTGTGGTTCACACAAGCTCTAGATATTTTCACGTTTCATTCTGCGACATCAAATGTGTCAGAAATCCCCCCAAAATTTGTATACTAACAAGTGGCTAAATGGGACTGCTGGTGATTGTATTTAGATTTCAAAATTCATAAATGATGAATAAAATGTGTAAGAATCATAAAACTCCTAAAATAACCCAAAAAGCCAAAGCCAGAGGAAAAATCGTATTGCTTGTCAGGGAAATCAGGGTGATACGAACTTATCTGTTTGTGTAAAAATATGCCATCACTACAGCACCCTATGCAACAGTTGTTATGCAAATGCCTTATTAACGAACTTATAGTTTGTTTAGAAGGACATTAGAAGCAACATGCTAACTGCACACTCTTTTGTGCTCAATCTATTTATAGCACACCTTTTAAGAACTTTAAGTGTCAGTTTAGAATTATTATAGGTTAGGATTATAATTTTTCAATAATATTACAGCACACTGTGAATGTATATTAGCCCTTTTTTAAGCATTTGGGATCAACTGGACCCAGAAATGGTGACGTGCAACATCAGACTTAACAAGTGGACTGAAAACAGCTGTTAGCAAGTCATGTCTTGCTATGTTGAGTGTGTCAAATGGATTTTTTTCTGAAAGATGTTGCTTTAGGTTAGATAGCAGGCTATGCTGCATAGGCTACTAGTAATGGAATTCTACTGAGTAAGGAATGGCTCAGCAGAAAGAGCCAAGAGCCGTTTGTCCTCAACACCATTTAGAAGCCATGTTGTGACAAATTGAGTCATTACTTGAAGCAAAACAGCACTTGTGCTGGCTGATAAGACATGCCAACCTCTGTGTGTCAAAGCAGTACGTCATTTCATAGTTAACCATTCAGATATCTGGCTGCAGATGCTCTTTGTAGAGACATAACAATGAATCATGAAAGAGCTATGAACAGATGCTGGATGCCTCGCAGTTCTCTGTTGGTTTTTCATGCATTGGAGAAACTCAGTGGCCTGGTCCCAGATCCCTAAGCTGTGAAACCACGTTTGGAAAGGGTGTCAAACCTCAGGGTTTCTCCACATGCTGGTTCAGGAAGTTTCTGAGGTTGGCCACTCATTAATCTCCTCACTGCACAGTGCAAGGTTTTTATGCAAGAAAATAGTGGTGATTTCTACTTTTTAAAAGTCCTCCAATAATTAAAAACTTGATTTGATTTTAAGTAAGTGGTCAAGGAGATGTTTGCAGGCTTGTCCTCCTTATCCTTTTTTGTGAATGACTATAGTTGCATGCGCTGTGTGTCAGTGAGTTTATCCAACATTTGATTTATGTTCTCACCTGATTGTCCTTGCATGCTTATATTTCTATTCCCATTCTAAAGTCAACATAAAATAAGCACTTTACTTTTGTAATGTGACATTTACGAGTAAAACAAGATTCATATTATAATTATGTAAATACTTATATTTACAGTTAAATGTGGCCATATAAAGGGGTTTTGCCAGGGTTGTAAGCCATCCAGAATTAACCTGATAAAGTTTGGGCTAACAGTTCAAGTGCCTGTAAAAAGGGGTCCATAAAAAAAGACTGGTACAGTACAAACAGTTGAAAATTCGAATATCTTTAGTCTATTACATCTAGTATAAAACCTATAAGTTATCTTTAGCCATTTTCTATGGTGATTGAGAAATGGCACAGCAAATTGGCCTGAATGAATAATAAGTGGATCTGCGTATTGTGTATTGTCTTAAATTCAAGTGTTCATAAAAAAAGATTGGTACAGTCAAAACTGTTCAATTTAGATTTTGTAAGGCCATTTTGACTTGTATGAAGCACTTGCGTTAACTTTAACACGCTCTCTACTGTGGTTGAGCCACGAAATGGGCTGATGGTGAAATAGGATTCCTCATATGTATTGCTCCATATGGGAAATTTAAGTGATTATAAAAACAAGATTAGCACAGTAAAAGTGTTGAAAACTTGGAATTTTCTAGACTGTTAGAAAATGCATGATGCCAGTATGTTAGATTTACTGCACAACTGAAGAGGGCAGAGAAAGGCTGGCTCAAACTGATTGGCTGAATGTAGTAGTAATTACTGTATGCAAAGTTCGTGTGTCCATGAACTATATCCTTGGATGTCCTTAGACCACTGGACACTTTAATAAACCATTTTGTCAGATTTAATGCACCCCTTTCAGGTGGTAGAGAAATTCTCACTTGGCATATTCAACTTTAACAGAGCTTAATTCAAGCAGAACCAAAGATGTGGACAATTGAAGGAAGCGTTGCATTATATAAATGGGAGATTCTTGCATCAATGAGTAGCTGAACAGATAAGTAGCTGAATTTAACCTTATGATTGTAGTTAGTTTAAGGGATAGTTCAGCCAAACAATGAACTTCCAAACCTGTAGGCATTTCTTTCTTCTTCAGAACTCAACAAAGATATGTGGAAGATTGGTAATCAAACTGTTTTGGTTCCCATTTACTTCTATTGTATTTATTTATTTTTGTCCATATAATGGAAGTCAATTGGAACTGGAACTGTTTGGTTACCAACATTCTGGGCCACCGTAACATTTGGATGAACAATTATAAAACACTTTTCTCGTGAATAATGTGCAAAGATGAATTAGAAACACAATAAGAATGTGTAAAAATAAAGTTCAATTTCATGTTGACTTTGTTTTAACTAACTCAGACACACTAATGCTGTTCATTTTTGTTCCCAAACCCTCTCTAATGTTCTTTCACTCTCGCCATCATGATTTCGGGCCTCTCTGTATCTCCAGACCTTTCCCGCTCTGGCTCGACTACAGGCTCTCCGCAGAGGGAACGCGCGCCTCCTACAGGAGAATCAAGCCATGCTGCGCTCCCTCGCTTGCCTCACTCAGACGGCCTCTCTACCCGAGACGGACGATCTCTAGTACCCCTCTCTATCTCTCTCTGTCCTTTCCTCCTTCCTGTTCTCCGCTGCACCCTGTAGTCCTCCCCCTCTGTCCCACTGCTGCTCACCTCTCAGGCAGGTCTCTCAGTTTCATCCTTTTGTTTTGCATTGGGAAAGCTTTTTCGCCCCTTCTTTCTTTCTCCCCGTTTCTCTCCTGGGTCTGGGGAAGGGCAACCCCTCACATTCCTCCTGCAGGTGGCAGCTTTGAAGATATTTATAGATCTTCCAATCCAGTGACCAAAGGTCTCTATACTCCAGCAAAGTCCAAATCAAATCACAGCCTCTGTATTGTCACATTCTAGTCTCTGTCAACACATCTACTCACTGGTTATAAATGACATTACAGACTATTGGATGCCTGTATTACACGGATAGCAATAAAAAATAAACATAAAAATAATTGTAAAAATGAAACTAAAATAGAATACTGATATAGTATGTAACTCGCTGGCTATAAATTACATTACAGACTATTGGATGTTTATGTTACAAACAGATAACAATAAACAAAGATACAAATAATTTAAAAATGAAAAAAAAAAAATCATACATTTACAAAATATGGGTTAATTATTATTGAAAATATTAGGTTATGTTTTTGATAAAATATAGATAGTATTTTCTCAAGTCATTTAATACAATTCAGCAGTTGATTTTACAATGAATAATGATTTTAATTGTTGGATTTAGTTGAGGGTCAAGACCACTGACAGGCCAAAATCTTTAATGCAGTTTACATGCCATGTAAATCTTATGCTAGATAATGATTTATCTTACATATCTCTAATAGTTTTCTCTTTTTTGTGCCTTTATTGCTTAAAGATGTAGCAGGACATCAATTTGTATCCTACTCATATTCAGAAAGCCAGAACTGTCCACGTTGCTGTGAGCCTCTGTGTGTGTGTGCTGGTTATTTCTAAAAGGGAGCACAAAAAAAGCTTTGTTGTTGTATCCAATGGTTGGACAGATGTGATATGAAGTCATGAGTGGCTGGGTTTGCACTTCTGTTAAAGCTTTTGTAGTTCTGGCAATGCTTTTTTACTGGAGTAGGAGGAGGTGAACCTCTCTATGCATGAGTACACATTCATATGCCACTGCCAGCTGCCATTCCTTTAGAAAGGTGAATTTGAAAATCATATTCTGTGGTGTTATGGTCTAGCAATATTTGCATGCTTTAATACATATATTTCTCCAATAAAAATGATTTACACCCAAAGAAATTAATCTGTGGTCTAGAAGAACTATTTTAATATATGGTGCATTGCCATCTCATGATTTTGACGCCACATGACCACTAAATATTTAAGTTAATAATCAAAAGCATTCTTCTCTCTCATTCTCACCTTTAATTAATCTCAGGTTTTGACAGAACTCAAGTCTGATAACCAGCGGCTGAAAGATGAGAATGGAGCCTTAATCAGAGTCATCAGCAAACTTTCCAAGTGAGGACGACCGGTTGGAGGGGAGGAGAAACACTGAACAGAGAGACACCAAATCTGAGAACTTCACATTCACTTCAAACTGACCATTGTCATGCTGGGTAATGGTTTGTGTAGGCCCTTGCTCTTGGTGCATCAGCTCCAGGGTTAAAGAGATTGGCTCACCAAAAAAAAAAAAACTGTCATAATTTACTCGCTCATGTCATTACAAACCGGTACGGCTTTCTCTCTTCTGTGGAACACAAAAGAAGATATTTTGAGAAATGTATCAGTCTTTTTTGTTCACACAATATAAGTCAGTGGTCACCAAAACGGTTTGGTTACCAAAATGCTTCAAAATATTTTATTTTGTGTTCCACAGAAGAAAGTAGGTATCAACTCTCTTACAAAATAAGGTGGTAGCTGGATTTACATCATTTCTAGCTGGTTTAGGTGGTTGACTGACAGGACTGAGTTTATCCATCATAATTGACCTGGTTAGAGCTGATCATCCATTTCGCTGGTGAAGGCCTGGCTGAGTTGGTTAACAGTGTTAGTTAACGGGTTTCACCACCTTAACCTGAGTTGACCTGGTTTTGTAGTAGGGTACTCCAATAACACTCTAGGAACAGTGTTGGTGTTTCTCCCACAGAAACATCCAATCAATTGAATGTTTTCTCACCGTTAGCCATTTCTAAACTCTAAATGTTTCAGGATCAGTGTAGAAGATGATTGAATCCCTGCTGAAAACAACAGAAAATGTCCATGC